GAAGGAAGGATGCCAAGAGGAAGGACGGATGAGTGTGGGAGGCTTCAAGGTCAGGGCTGGAGCTAGTGGAACAGCACGGGGATCTGAATAGGGCTTGGGACTGGAGAGTGCTGGCTTAGAGGACTAGCGTTGTGGCCTCACCCTCCAGCTGGTCCTTGTTAAACTCGATCTGTGGAAGAAAAGAGCAGGTGAGGAGGGATGACGGGGGTCAGAAAATCTCTCCAACACTCCTCCCAACCAACTGGCAGCCACTTCTGAGGAGGGGCCCAAAGGGACCAGACCGGGAGCCCAGCCACCTCAGTCCCATTCCCAGCTCTAGGCCTTGGGAGAATCCCAAGAGGAGGAATGACAGCAGGGAGCGTTTCCTGGGAACAGGGTTAATCCCATGCCACCTGTTCCCCGCCCTCCATTGCCCTGAGCCCTGCATCCTTCACATAACTGGGGGCTGAACAAAGGCTAAATTTACCCCTGGCCCCCAGCTGTGATTGTCTAACAAGTCTGTCCTGTCCTCTCCAGCCTCCTCTCCTGGGATTGAGCTGGGTGGCCTTTGAGTTGGACAGCATCTCCCTCCCTTCACCTTGAAAAAGCCATCCTCAGACCCAGATGTGCCCCATCACATAGGTCCTCACTCCTGGAGGAGAGACAGCGAGGGTGTGTGCACTCGTGTGTGCGGTAGTACACGCGTGTGTCACGGGGCTAGAGGGAGAGACGGCACAGACAGCAGCAGAGTCCTAAACCTGGATCTTTCCGAATGGCAAGCTCCTGGAACTTCTACGCACCCTCTCCTGCCCCGAGGCTGTGTCCCACCCTTTCTCCGAATTCTACCCTCACTCTCTGGGGACTCACCACTACTTTGGAGAGATCGATGGGCGGCTCCCGGGGCTTCTCAGGGGCTGGAGAGGCAGCGGACTCGGACTTGGCCTTGGCTGGAGGGACCCCTGCTGCTGGCTTGGCAGCAGGCTTCGAGGGAGAGGAGCCCACCGGTTTCTTCACAGGAACATCCTTCTTGGGAGGCATGATGTCCGGTAGCCAAAGGACAGTGTGCCGAGGGGGACACCCATCTCTGTTTAAATAGCCAGGGAGTCTGGGATGTCAAGGGGCGGGGGCAGCGGCTGGGAGCCAGTTGGCAGTGTTGAGGGTGAGGTAGAGCCTGTTTGTTCTCACTCCCCTGGCCTCCCCTGGTTCAGGACTCCTGCCCCAAGGTCTTCCCCTCCTCAGCCTGCCTCTTCCCAAATGCTGGCTAGAACAATGCCCCCAACAGAGGCACTAGGAGGAAGCCAGAGCCTGCCAGTGATGGGGGAGTTAGGCTCCAGAGTAAGGGCTACTGGAGATCATGGTGAGGCACAGAGGGGGACCCTGGCCGTCCAGGGTAGCCCTGGGTCCTAGTCGCTTTAGACTTGTGAAGGCGGAGGCA